CAGAGCAACGGCCGGCTTGTACGGAGATCGTAGGCGGTTGGAGGAGATCATGCGAAACGAGTGTCCGCAGGCGTGCGACTACGACGCCCACGTCGAGGCGCGGCACCGGACCCAGCGCGAGGCCGAGGCCAAGGCGCGGCGGACCGCGGCCCTGGCCCTCCAGCACAAGGCCCAGCGACGATCGACGACGCCCGTGAAGTTCCTCCTGCCCAAGGAGGAGCTCTCCCGACGCGGCGTCACATCGCTGCCCCAGGTAAGCCCAAAGATCTCGTCTATTCCGCATTACATCTCTCGTCTCATTCATCATTTCATCATTAATCCACAAAGTCGAGATTTCTGCTGATCTTTTTTTCTCATCTTGTTCAATTTAGAATGTGACTGTGAAGGAGCTGGCGGCGAGCGGCGCGTCGTGTTCGAAGCAGGCCATCGCGTTGGTCATGGAGCAGTTCCTCGACCAACGGCGGCGCCAGCTGGACCGCTCTCGCTCGTTTGATGGCGATGATCGGCGGCCCGCTACCGACAGGCCTTCAAAGGCCACTTCATCGTCATCGTCGATGAACACCTCAGCAGCCGCTACATCGACCGATGAGCGTAAGTGGCTCGAAGCGTTCCTGCAGATGCTCGAAGTCGAGCGCAAGCGCAATGAAGCGGTCGAGGCTGAGAGGGTGAGGGCTCTCCATGGCGAAGAAGAAGACGAAGAAGACGAAGTCGATCAGCTGCTGAAGGCCAAGCAGCGACCTCACGGCAAAGGCAGCGTGGACGAAAGAGAGGAGGGTCGACCAGAGGAGGAGGGCGACAGCAAAGCGAAGGAAGCAGTGTCAGTTCCGGTGATCACCATCACGACGGCTACAACCAGCTGATGAAGATGGTGATGGGTTGTTTATGTACTCCTGGGTGAGTTGCACTCCACCCACCACACCCACCAGCAACCAAGGCTCTTGGAGTACTTGTTTTTACTGCTGTCCCTTGATGAGGTGGGGCTTGACGAGATAGTCCACGGGGAGGGTGATGGCGTGCTCGCCCAGCTTCGAAGTCTGAAGGAGGCCTGAGATCGGCGTCAGGTCCCAGCCGAAGAAGAACGTGACGTTC